AAAGCTCCTCACATCATTCCATGGAGGCAACCATCTACTTTGCCAAGCATTGAGCCCGCTCTGACAGGAGATTAGATAGAGGGTATTTGCATATCTGTCTTCAGGACATTAAGTGTTGTCTACGAAGTGAGGAGGAGAGCAATGCAATGATAGAGAAAGTTTAATTTAGGAGGAAGTGGTGGAAGATGGGGAAGGAGAAAGAAAGAAAACAAGGCAAATCTTGAAAAAAAGAGAAATCTTGTTTTCAATGAAATACAAATTTATTTCCTAAAGTGTGACAAAGACATCTTTAGAAAAGATACTCTTGTGTTTTTTTAGGAGGGTTGAGACCTCCTCTGATGTCTTTCAAGAAATAATGACAAAAAAGAAAGACCTACCTGCCACTTAGCAAACATAGCACTGGGTATTGTCATTTATGTGTTAGGTCACTGACTCCCCACCAGCTATATGATATCCCCCATATCCCCTATAGGGGATGGAGAGCCTGTAGATAACATATGTCCAGCCCAATTTTTCAGGGCCAATAGTTGACAAAGGCCAGCCTTAGAACCTGAGGCCACGGTTCAAAGTGTGTGGAAAGACCAAGAAATTTTAAACAATGCTGGCAACTTTGTGTTGAAACTTCTCTATAAATAGTTCCCTGATGATTTCTAATTCCCGATGACTTGGTATAATGCGAGCTATTCGGCAATGTGATATGGATAGATATTTCCTTTTCAAAACATTGCACAAATACATGATTTCCTCTCTCTGTCCACCCTGTAGGAGAAGTAGGAAAAGAGCAAGGTAATAGGAATTTACCTCCAAGCTATAAAGCCTTCCTCTCCTTTCAGTAATCATGGAGGGGAGTTCCTAGTTACTAAGGAGACAATAACAGATTCCATTAGGTTCAAGTACAACACTTGGGTTGCCTGGCTAGAGAACGCCAAAAAAGCAAAGGAAAATATTAGCATTGCTGAAATCATTTGATGTCTATGACTAATAAAAAACATGTTGGCAAACTGAATTTTTAGAAATGCCCAAAGGGCTTGGTTAGAGCTATGAATTAATGGCATACAGCAGTTCTGTCTGGATGAAAGGGGGGGGAAAAAAGGACAAAGATGTTAAACTCCCTTAAAATTTATCTGAATAAATGAAAGGTCCCAAGAGAAATCAATTTACGTTCTTTATTCAATTTTTAACTTAAATCTAAATGTTCCTTCACCTTTCCTTTGGAGCTTAATAATAAAGTTTGCACATTTTGAGTCACAGTCATCCTTAAATTCTAAGGGCCCCACAAGCCTCTTTGGCCCTCTGATGGAACATCCCACAAATTCTGGAATTATTTTTAAGGGATCCCTGAAAACTGTACCCACCTTAGAGACTTTGAGGACTGAGGTGTCCATTCACGCATGTGCTGTGCCTCTCAGGGCTGGAGGAAGCCAGAGGTGGAAAGAACTAGGGGTAAGCCAGACCTTTAATTACCCCTTGACCCAGGTCCCAGAGGTTACTATGGGCCTGCCTGAGGATGTTCATCCAGTCTCTGCTTGATCATTCCCAGAACAGGAGGCCTTTGCCAGGACCCATCCTATCTTGTTATGAATACAGCTCTGATTGTTAGAGGGTGCTTTCTCATGCTGTGCCAAAATCTGCCTCCTCTTGAGTTTTTTACCCATTGTTCCCCATGGTATATCTAGAATAATACTGTTTAACTCAACTTCCTTTCCTCTTGAATAATACCTTAGATTACTGAAGTCAGATGTTGTAACTCCCCTGTATACCGTCCTCTCCAAACTAAATATCCTCAGTTTCTTTCTCAGATCATACGGCAAATATACAAGTATTATAACAATAATAAAGGCAAAACATATGATCACCATAAGACAAAAAGATGGTCTCGAAATTGGATTTTTTAAAAAGATTTATTTATTTATTTAAGAGAGAAAGAGAGAGAGCATGTGCATGAGCAGGGGGAGGGGCAAAAGGAGAGGGAGAGAGAGAATCCCAACCAGACTCCCTGCTGAGTCTGGAGCCAGACAAGGGGCTCAATGTGGGGATTCCCACAACCCTGGTTCATGACCTGAGCTAAAACCAAGAGAAGCTTAACCGACTGAGCTAACCCAGGCGCCCCTGAAAATTGGATTTTTTTTTAAGGGACTTAAGTTTTTTTTTTAACCAAAAAGCTGAAATGTTTAAATGATATTGAGAAGCATCATGTCTTTCCACTAAGACATAGCTATCAAATCACTCCATCCATCAAGTCATCCTGTCAAAACAGAAATCAAGTCTGAAAGACTTCTTCTTGGCAATACCACACCAGCTCCCTGACAGTGGCCACCTCACCAAGTCTCTCCAAGTTGCTTTTAGTTTTTGCTTTATTTGCTATCAATGCCTACTTTGAGAAAAGTTTCCAGGAAGGTACTGATCCGCATATGAGTCATTATGACACATTCTGAGAAGAATGTGAATACTATCTATTAAGAATTAAGAGAAAAGCAATGTAAGGAAATGCAAACTTTCCTTCTTACTCCTCTCAGTATTTCATTATAAAAGATTTCAAACACAGAAAAGTTGAAAGAATTTTATAGTAAACACCCATATACTTAATAACTAGATACAAGTACCATTTTGCTATCTTCCATTCATCACCTGTTTATGTTATCTCTTTCCATCCATCACTCCGTCTTACTTTTTTACACATGCCCATGTAAGGTGCGTTCATCCACACGCTTAACCCTCATGCTTCAGTTTGCACACTCACTGTTATTGGTTCTTTTCTGATACTTTTAATTAGCACTCTCTTCTGAATTGCTTTGCCACTCTCTCCCTCGTTTCTATATCATTCCTCCCATTCTCTAGCCCCAGGATTCTAAATGGTAAAAACAAAGTGTGAAAAATCTGATCACAGGACAGTCTTGAAGTAGTATCAGGAAAGGACGCTGAAGATCACAAGGGACCTCATAGGCATTATCATCTCGGGCCTGGGATGGACAAGGTCCTCATGAATGAACTGGCACAAACCAACAAGGGGGAGGTATCAACGAGCATGCCAACCTAGTAATTTCCTGTGGGAAACACAGCTAGCTATCAAATACCCAGGCCAAGATATTTCTTGATCAGCTCAGTCTCCCTCTCTGAATTAATCTACAGAATAGGTCAAATTTGAAGGATTTTGGTGAACAGAGAGACTCAGAGGAAAGGAAATAGTAAGAAAGTCTTAGTGGCATGGAGCCTTATCAGTGCTGATATTTCAACAGTCGTCTGACACTGAAGGGGTGCTCCGTCATTAGTACAAAGAGGAAACGAGTATGCATACTAACTACACTCTAAGAGAACTGCTGAACAGACCGGGAACTCATGTTGTGCATGAGGGACCTCCCTCCTGGACTGTGCTGGTGAACCATGCCAGATTCTACCCCTCCAACTCCCGCTAAAATATTTCCATGACTACCATTCCCATTTTTTTTTTTTTTTTGGAAGATTTTGTTTATTTATTTGAGAGAGAGAGAGAGAGAGATCACAAGGAGGCAGAGAGGCAGAGAGAGGGGGAAGCAGGCTCCCTGCCGAGCAGAGAGCCCCATGTGGGGCTCGATCCCAAGACCCTGAGATCATGACCTGAGCCGAAGGCAGAGGCTTAACCCACTGAGCCACCCAGGCGCCCCTACCATTCCCATTTTAATAATACATTCCCTTGTAGCCATTTGTCTGCCATTAATTCAGTTTTTGTGAAATCCTAATACTGCTTTGGTCTGAAAGACAACCTCTCTTTAAAATGGGTGGTCTATGTCTATAGAATCCCATCTTTATTTTTTTTATTTATTTTATTTTTATTTTTATTTATTTATTTATTTGAGAGAGAGACAGTGAGAGAAAGCATGAGTGAGGAGAAGGTCAGAGAGAGAAGCAGACTCCCCATGGAGCTGGGAGCCTGATGTGGGACTCGATCCCGGGACTCCGGGATCATGACCTGAGCCGAAGGCAGTCGTCCAACCAACTGAGCCACCCAGGTGTCCCAGAATCCCATCTTTGATGAACTGATTCTACTGGCTTTACTCTCAAAAAAAAGGAAGTGATTCCCTGCTACCTGAAGTTTTCCCTGATGTGTAAAAACCATTTGTTTTCCTATCTCAAGATTTATGTCTGATAAGAAATGTTAGTCATTTATATTCTGGGCTTCCTAATTACCAGTCCACAAAGACTTGGCAAAGTGAGCTCTTCAGTGGAAAGGCAGCAGGGCAGCAGTACATAAGTATAAATACAACGCTTTGCACAACAGACAGTTTTTCCACAGTGTCAGATAAATCTAATTCTGACACAGCAATTTCATTCTGGAATCCATAAACAGAGCTTTCTAGTCATAAAGTCTCCAGGTGAATCCTTTGGTTAGGTAACAACTTCAAGTAGTTCTTTCAAAGGCTTAGATGTCATAAACCAGACTATTTTACAGCAAAGCAATTCCTGTCTTCTATTGCTTAATGATTTGTACCCTTGACCACTTTCCCTGCAGAGATACCCTGGTAAATATCTGTAAAAATCAGCATTTCATGGTAGCATCACACTCTTCAGAGTTTATTGGAAGGCAAACCTTTATGGTATTAGGGTAGAAAATGACACAGAAGCAAGGCTCTCTGAAACAGGCTCACTATTTCTCATGAGTTTACTTACAGACTGGAAAAAAAAAAAAACAGGCACTTTTAGGCATGGGCACCTCATTGGTCAAATGCCAACCATCAAGAGTTGTTCTCTAACTGCCTGTATTATAAGCAACCAAAATACAAGGTTCAGCTGCAGATTAAAACCCTGAAGAGGGTAAAAAAATACTCTTTCGGTGCTGGGGCCTGGAACTCTCAGACGGGAGCAACGCACTTGTTTCACAGACCTCAGAAAGGACTTAAGCTAGATAAACAGGGACCAGTTCACCGAAGCTGGGCTTCAAAGGCCATGTTTGTTCAGACTTCATTAGTTCTTTTTATTCCTTTGATGCGTCTGTCTCTAGTGACGGAAACTCTTATTTTTTCAAGAAACTAAAGCACAAAAGGAAACTGAAAAAGCTGCAAACTGATTTGGCAACAGCTAAGCAAGAGGCTGCCATCACAATCCTGGAGCTCAATGAGAAGATAAGGACTCTATGTGAAGGGAAGCCAGCCCCTAGAGGTCAGTATTACCACGTGACAGTTATATTGGCCCTAGGGCATGAGTGAGGTATATACTTTTATTGGCCACAGAGCAAAAAGCTCGGCCACAGGGCCAGGCAGAATCCTGGCCCAGCAGCACGCTCACCTGGCCTACCCCACCTCTATTCCCTGCGAATAGCAGACATGACACAAATTACTGACTCCAGGCTGGGTTCGCCTTCACTGTCTGTGAGGTAGGGAATGAATAAGGGGTTCCTTAGAGAAAAAGTCTGAAGCTGAAGAGCTGCACTAAATGGATCTGAGAAGGGTCTTTGCATGAGCCGGGGGGGCAGCGAGGGAAAGCGAGCGCCTAAGGAAGACCCAAGTGATGAAGCTCTGGACTGGGGCAAAGAGAGGAGCTTGTCTTCAAGTGTAGACAGGCTTGTACGCTGGGGCAGGCACACGGAAGTTAAGAAGTGAGTGTTGGAACAACCCGCGAATGAATGAGCCAGAAACAAGCAGGGCACGCTGGGTGAGGATGAAATCTGGGTGATTCCGAAAACCTGTAATGGCCACTATGGTTTGGAGTTTTGAACAAGTCTTCTCTAAGTGCGGGAGGAAAACCCCTCCGATCGCTGTCCCCAGGAATGTTAGTGAACATTTAATAGTATGTGCCAGGCGTTTGGCTAAGCACTTCACATGTATTTAATTCTCAGAATAACCTCTGAAGTAAGTTCATTTATGGATTCCTGAGGAATCAGCGGAGGCTTAGGGATGTCGATTACTTTGCCCCAGGTTAAACAAGTGTGAGCAACACCCAGGCAGCGAACCTCCTGCCAGCCACTTACCCTCCCCAGTGCGCCTGCGCCCTTCCCACGACGCACAGGGATCCTCGTCTCTGTTCTACAGCCGCGACATTTCCAGTTCTTGGAAAACAGTGGTTCCCCCGGATAAATGTCTTTCTTTCATGTGTGGCACTCTTGTAAAGCCAGAAACATGCTATTATTCTTACCCTGGCTTCCTTTATTACTCATAAATAATTCTGGGAAAAGAGGAGGACCGTGGAAATAAATGGAGGAGGAGAAAGTAGGCGATGTGGTGGCTTCAGAAAAGGAGACACGTCCGCATCCTGGCCACGTGGTAAAACTTTAAAATGAGTTTGGTTTTAATTTTCTCTTCTGAATAGCACTTTCCCGGGGTTGAAATGGCATGCAACACAGTCATCTTGAAATACATGCTGAAGGTCAATTTGTTTTTCTCTTTCCACAGAACATAATGATAGCTTATGAATTTACTTCTGCCACCATGAAAACTTAGAGAATAAAATCCATTCAAGTATATTATCCACTTAAAGGTCTTTATTCTAGGGCATCATAGCCAGATTTCAAGTTGAGTCACAAGAAGCTGATAATGATTGTACGTCACGTTGGAGAAAGTTCTCCAGTTTACCTGAGAGAAGCTTTCAACTTCTCAACTGTATTTTGAATCTAGTGAAAAAAGATCTTATTGCAAGGTATATAATTCTCATTGTTGACAAAAATACCATTTATTGTCTAATAACAATTTTGTCCCTCTGATATTTTAGTAGGTCAAAATCAAAATAACACTGAGGTACAAGGACTAATGGTTTGAGAGAGGATAGGAAACATGAAATCCCACTTTTGTCAATTTTCTCTCTATATTTCTAATTAAAAAAAAAACAACACCAGTACAGGAAAAAAAAAAAAATACAAAACCCTAATGTATTATGAACAGATATAAATTTAAATAAAGACAGGTATTCCAAGGTCAGTTATGGATGAAAACAGTGATTCCTTTTGGACCATATGTTGCTTCTTTTATTTCGTGGAAAAACTGAGTCAGTGCACTGACTTAAATAAAATATTTGCACTTTATTGCTCTCCCATTGCTCCCATGCCCCTCAACCTGAATTCAATAGCCCAAGAGAATGTCAAAGCCCTTTTGGCCCCAGAGTCTTATTAGCTTTCATTCTCAGAGACTTTGGTCACCTTGTTCTACCTCTCAACATACTTGAAAGTAAAGTCTGCAAAGATGTTGGTTACTTTAACACACAATGACCTCCATTTAGCCATACAACAATGAGGATTGACCCACCTCCCACACACATTCCTAGACCAGAACAACACCCCTCCCCTAGTTATTTTGTGTCCTTTTATAAAATGTTTGTTTTCAGTTCTCAGACCTCTGTTTGCAAATGACAGATGTTCCAGTCATACATTACAGCTTAAGAAGAAAGGGTAATTTATTGTCATAAGTGTAAACAAACAAAGAAAGGGCATGCCGTTAACTATATATAGTACAATAGATGCAGGGTCTCAGATACCATCAAAACATTCTGCGTCTCTCATAGCTGCTTCTCTCTTCACTGAAACTTAATTCGCTCAAGTGGGATGTCAGAAGAGACTGGAAATGTGGCCATAAGCAACTATGGGCTGTTCTCATCTTTCCTCCAGAGAGAAAAAGAAAGCATTTTCCCACCAATTCTAGATAGAAAAAGTATAATAAAGCACTCTGTCCCTGCGTGGGTTCCCATGTAGGGACATGAACCAGTCTGTGGCCAGGAGTAGGGAACTATGGTTGGACAAGCTTGAGTCATGCACCTGCTACTGAGTGGCGGAGCAGAGGAAAATCAGGGTGGAAAAAGAGAATGTTCTGACTGGCAGCTCCCACCAGAAGCACAGGGCTGGATTTGGAGAGAAGCATTTACTTAAAGGAAGAGATAACCCATTACTAGAAAGAAAGAGTGAGGGATAAAACCCACATGTCCTAAACACTCTCAACTCGTGGTTAAGTTAAAATATAATGTAATGCTTAATGAGTCACCCATCCATGAGTATTTGCACTTTTTAAATAGATTCTTCTTGATGAACAAAAGACCTTTGTGATCCAAGTAATAAATGTCCAATGATATAATTTCAGATCCCATAAAAAGGGAGAGTGAACCACTTTGGGAAAGGAATCCCCTTCCAGCCTCCATCAAGTGACACCATCATGGTTGCCTACTCTGAAGGCATGCTTTATTTTAACAATTGAAATTGCAAGAGGGAAAAAAGTTTTTATTCTAAACGACATGTTACCTGGATTAACATAAAGCTATTTCTCTATTATAGTTACAGATTGATGCCTATATTCTAACAAGCAGATTAAGACATTGCCAAATAAATTAGAATATTTTTTACCCAAATGTGCATTTCCCCCCATTGCGTGATTCATTTTCTAAGTCAGTCTATATATATTAGGTTGCTGTTCAGCTCTTCTAATCTGAGGAATGTTCCAGAATATTAGGAATACCTTTAAGCATATTCTCATTTTGATGAAGCAGTGAGCTACCAAACTTTTTATATAAACACAGTAAACTTCTTCATTGGCTATGTACTTAAATTACCTCCAAGGAAATAAATGATTTAAGTCAATGGAAAGTTCAACTGAAATGAAAAACACCTTTATTTTAAAAGTGGCACAGCAGGAAACTTACTTAGAGCCTGAGTGTTGTTTGTTGATTTTGCTTTGTGCAAATAATCACAGCCCAAGGCAGATTCCTTCCTATGTTTCCACAGCCTGTACCTGAAGTGCTTATGGCTTTATTTACTAGCATAATTCAGTGAAATGTCTATTGTACCCCTTCAGGGTCACCTTTTAGTAAACCTTAGTATGCAGGAAGCTAAGGTTAAATTTCAAAAAGTATCTTTGTTTCTTTTGTCTGAAGAGGGCAAAGTTACTTTGCAAAAGTCATTCGTGACTAAGTGTTGCTGGTACATGAGCCTTAGGTCACTTGCTATGATGAAAGCTCCTATCTTTGACCAAAACATCAGGGACCTGGTTCATAGATCTCAAGCCAGTTTATGATGCACTGTTCTGGATTTTTTTTTTTTTTCCTTTCAATTCTTTTCTCCTAATATGCACAGCTGTTATACCAAGTAAGGTATCTAGCCCCAATATGCAAATTCTCACTGCCCGGATAACAGCCATATCAGCACTAAGTCATCTCTTGGTTTTATTCCTGTTAAGAAGATGCTCCCGGTCAGCAGGTACATCCCAGAGCAAGCTTCCCCAGGACTCAGTGTCTGGCCAGAGTCTTTTCAGGGAGGCATGGACAACGATTGATCGACATGACAGTGATTTTCAGGGGCCCGAGATGGTTTTTAAACACTATTGATTTTAAGAATTAGATTATTGCTGTTCTATATTGTTAAAAAAAAAAAAATCAAGAGATTTATCTCTTTGTCAACATCCCAGAGCCAACTGTGATCAATATTTTCAAGAGTACCTTTTATCAGGATGTCCACCCCAGGGAACTCAGGCTTCTTATTCTCTGTCCTCCAACAAACTTCCTCCGGATCAAAGCTCCTATTGTAACGAGGTATTAAAAAACAAACAAACAAAAAACCCTAGGATTTGAGGGTGATACGAGCATTCTGGAATTAATCAGTGATAGTGGTTGCACAGTATTGTTAATATAGGAAAATGAATGAATTATACACTTTAATTATACACATGGTGTATTTTGTTATGTGAATTTTATCTCAACAGGGGGAAAACGATCCTCACTAGGATGTAATGACTAACACCCTGTCAGTTTTAAGTGTGTTTTAATGAGAGTGCCTTGGGACCAAGTAAAATCTTGAGTTGGTAGAGTTCTGAGCATTCAGAGAGAGGTCATATTCCTGTTTATCTTGTGTAGTTGTCCATGTGGGTCTAGGTTTTTTCAACAATGCAATCCTGTGCTCTTGATTTTCCATCAGCCTAGCTCTTTGAAAGATGTTCTTCCACAGACTAAAAGCCAATTACTTGAACAATAGTTCTACATACAACCATCCTTTCATTATGGAACACAGATATTTATCTTACCACAGTTTTCAAAGAAAGTATCAAGGAAGGCCCTGGGATCTCACTGTTTCAAATGGTGGGACTTTGTCAAAACATACCGTTCACCACCCATTTCTTGAGGCTGCATGGGCTTTCATCTGACGGTTGGTGGAAGCGTAGACAGATGGCCTATACTTCCTACCACTGTCAAGG